AGTTGATATCTAGACCACTTTGTTTTTCTTTCTTCTCTCTTTGGCAAACTTCCCGTGGGTGTTGAGAGTGCTTGAATCCTGTAGTTATGTACGAAAGATTTGATACTGATAGACTCAAAATATTGAAGAATTGTGCTAATGTACACAGCTTTTGTGAAATGCTTAGATATCCTTTTCCATCTACTTGAATTTAGCACTCGAGCTCACCTCTTCTCTTCAACAATTGGAGGTATTTTCAAAAAGATTCTGGGAATCATTCTCTTTTGAAAAATGCTAACACTAAAGCCAGCATATATTTATGTGTGTATGAGTCAGATGGTACGTGTTTTGGAGCGGTGTTCGCGACCTTGAATGAATTTAGATTGGTCGCCGGATGATTCAAGTATAGCTGACTAGCTGACAATTTGTATTTTGAGCTGATCGTCAAGAGGAATTTCTCGGTGGAAAGGGTTTTGGAGATAAGACCTTTTAGCTTTTGCGGTTAGTATCAAGCCGGGTTTTGATGGGATGACACAAGAACAGGGATATCACAGGATACCAACCTCCGCCCACCGCATTACTTGGTCCTAATCTCTGGTTACAGCCACAAGGACGTGAAAATGCAATGGTTTATTTTCATAAGGTCTACGGTCATTCTAAAACTCTAAAAATAATCACCGTCCTCACATTTTGAACAAGGTCAAACTGTGGTTTGATACACTGCATTCTGATATCTGCAAAAGGCGTTGTGTATGTAAGGCAATCAAAATCCACATACGAGTAAGGTATCAGGAAGCTGAGTACTAAATTTCTGCTGAACAGAATGATCTCAATTTGCAGGTAATTTGATCGTGTAACAAAGACATGGGGTAGTCTTACCTGAACAAAAGCTCACCAACGGGGGCCAGTGGGTCCGTTGTCTTCAAGGGACAGGGCAGCACGGTGGTTTGAGGGAGTCGCGTTGAGTGCGCAGTTAAGGTCTTGGTAAGGATGCCAGTAAATTTATCTAAAACCAAGCTTTAGTAGTTCAAAGAGTCGCCTGTACGGGGAAGTTTAATGGCTACAAGACATGATGCGTGCATGGATGAGGTACTTGCAGAGTATGGTGATCTTGCTCGATGCTTGGGAATTGCCATTCGGCCTTCATGAAATCAAGCGTTACAACGTAATCCCGGCGTGCAATTAGATCCAAGGGAACATGGGTAGGCTCTGGATCAAGTTGGGGAACAGCTTTTCCCAACTGAAAGTGTCAACCTGATCATCACGAAAATAAAACTCTTGGACTTGAAGCGAGGGGTATGTATGCTAAAGAAGCAGAACTCCCCAGGGAATCATGTCTCATTATTAACGGAGGAATTATCACAACAATAAAAACGCTAATCGAGCTATAGTCTCTCAACGCGCTTATAAAGCCAAAACGTCGCTTTTTTGTTTGTTATGGGTGGGTGGATAGAACTTCGAAATACTAGCGACGAAAGCGTCAAGTACTGGGTTACTGATATAATCAATAGACTTGCTGATATAATGATGAAGGTGGAAAAGGAAACGAGTTAAAATTCCATCCTCACTTCATCAACGATAATTCCTTTCTATGATGATCCTCGTATTGGCTTGTTTACATATCGAATGGGGAGAGTCGACTAGGGGCATACAAATATAAATCGAGTATCTGGGAAAATGCCCCGATCCACAATGGGCCTCGACCGTCCGTCTGTACAATTTGATCACGACCATCCACCACAGTTTTAATGAGGGGCTCCGTGACCGTCACACAAATTATTCCTCATTCCTTCCGCGCTTTCTGTCGTCAATCCCTTGCCTACGAGGTGGTCATCGATAGCTCATCATGAACACACCTCGCAAGACCTTGATCCCGCACTACCTGTCTGGGGATCTGAGTTGGATTACCGTCTGTTGTTGGTATCTGAATCCGCTTATTTCACCATACTCTCATTCGAGGAAAGATTCGTGCACTTCAGTCTCGAAGAGATGAACGATACACATAGCTTTCGATTGATTCTGATCAGCTTTATTGCACATCTCGGCTGTGTGGTTTGCTCTGTGTTATCTCATCTTGACCACGAAAGGCTACACGGTTTCAAGCCGTTCAAGAACACATCTCGATGTCGATCACTTGTTTTCCATGTGGCTTCAGGTTCTGACCAAAAAGGGTCCTTATAAGAGCCCTTTGGATTATGTTTCCAGCAGCATCACTCAAAGCAAAACACTCTACAACACAAAATCGAACATACTCCAATCTACGCAGACCAGTTGGAGCGTGTCACTGTCCTTGAACTGGCTCAAAGCGGAGGCAGATTTGTAGGAGCCGACGATGCGGAGGAGTATAGGAACGCCAAATAGAGAGAGATCTTTCTTCGGGTCAATCCAGAAAACCTGCTCTGAACGTACATTGAACTCGAAGTTGGACTGATGGAGACACGATATCACAAGTGAAAACTCATATGTTTGACTCGCCATTCTCTCGTCATCTCACGCAGTTCGAGGCATCGAATTCTTCAAGGGGTCATCACTGAAGAGTTGATCTAACCATGTAAAGCACGCCCAGAACATGCGTGGAAAGGAACAATCAAAGGAATGAGCAACAGTGTCTTATAACCATCCTGTTGGCCTTCATGAATAGACTTGTTGTCGTCACATACAATCACGCTCCAAATACCACCACGCACATACGATTTGTTTACCTCGATCGCTCTCGGACAGACAAAACCGATTCTTAACTGGACATCTTTTTCAAAACCCGGAACTAGGCGCGAGCAAAAGTCTTGAAACACACATTATGGTTCATGTCTACCTTGCGTCACAGTGCGCGGATGAGCAATGCTCAAGCAATGAGCGTGTCTGAGAGCTAAACACCGGCAAATTCATCTTATTTGCGTGTGAATCCCGAAGCATATCAGAGTCACCGTAGGTCATTCTGAGAAACAGAAGATGTTCGAAACAAAAACATGCCTAGGATCCCATCTACCAAGACGTTTATATTTGGCTTTGGTCACACTAGAGCAGCTACACGACTTCTACAATCGATCTTCATGACTGCTTGTAAAGCGTAGAACAATTCCATCGATGATGGGATTTCGTGATAGAATTTTTACTTCTATAAAATTTGACGAAACCGAATACACGCAGTTGTCGTTGTCAGAGCTCGTGAGTCACATCTGAATAAATGTGATTACAGAGTTGACGAAGTCCTGATTTTGAAGACACGAATACAAGGAGTAAATCGAGTGATCACCAATCTATTGGGTTGAATCTCATGATAACACCTGATGGATATTGATATCTCCCATCATGGTAAAAGATAATGTCGTATACGTAAGCCCTTGCAAACTTTGGAGGGTTTCGGTATTCGCATCAGCTTGAGTGAATTCGACTCGCTCAGATGCCACGTGCAAAGTTTGTGCGGGGTGGCCAAGAGAGAGGATTTCTTTACTACATTTAGTAAGCGTCGGCCTCATATCCGAAGCAATTCTAATAGGAGTCCAGTGGTTAGATTCTGGCTTAGAAAGTTGATATGAGAGGATGATGTAGATAGCTATCTTGAATGTTCCCCCCTCCTCCAATGGATGAGTCCTCTCTTGCTGCTGCGATAAAGCTGATAAAGAAAAGGAATGAAGCGTATACGGTTATCCAACTTTTTCGTGCGCTCGAAAGATAAAGAGAAACTCGATGCGGAGCCTCTTCAATCTGTTGAGATCCATCTTCCATCGACCACACACATCTTCGGAGAGATTCCAAACAGAGTGAACTGATTATGACAACATTGTTACTCTAGACCTTTCCACAAGTCCCTCAAGTGAATTTTCAGCTTCGTGAATTAAGGACACGTTTTACAGGTACTGCTGCCTACTTGATTGAGAGTCCTTGCCCATGAGACTCACATCTTGTCCTCAATAAGATAAGACATAATACAACAAATCATTAACAATCTATGATGGCTAATAGATTCAGACTTATGACTTTCACACTCAAGAAACTCCGAGTGTGGACAACAAAACAGTCACATCAGACTTCCAAAACGTAGCTGGCGTGACTGATTGTGAAGCACAAAATGAACAAAGATTACAAGCATTTCGCAAACATCGACCAGCAAACGAGCATGAGTCCATTCTCCGCATTCTCCTATCGAAAGGGTCTCAGCGCCCTAAGCAATACTACAGGCATACATAGCCTCATTGATGATTGTCGTCGGACGGCGTGCTTGACATGAAATGATGTCATAAAGCTTACTTGGCCGACTTTCACGTCGAATCCTCATCCAAGTGTATGGGATCCCCACCTCCGTTAATTTGTTCCGAATATAAGGCCAAAAGTGCGCCCGTGTGGCGGAGTCTTTATATCCTATTCACCTATAGCAGGTCATCTAGACCCCCAATTTTAAGGAATATTACCAGTTATTCGGATCAAACTTAAGAGTATCAGTAATCAAGAACTAGAGTTGAAGTATCTGCGCTGGTCCATCATTCTTCGTGAATCATACAGTGAAAAGATCCATCCGGCGTGAATCACAGATGCCAGTGGCAGGAATTTCACAGTTCTCAAAACCGTCTGCTATGCTCATCAATACCTCATCGGTCAGATTTAAAAAGGCCTCACTTCCCGCTCATTTCTCCCCCTTCTCCAAGCTCACTTCATACTTCAATTTCTTGAATTCGTCTTCATAATTTTCAATCCACTTTGCGCTCAATTTCTTGAATTAGTCTTGATTTCGATACATCTCGTACTTGACCTTACCAAGTTATCCTTCCAAAGTTCTCGATCCATTCCTCATAAAATAAAATCGGTCTTGATAATCTTCAACCCACTTTGCGCTTCGATTTATCGAATTAGTCTTGATCGATTCCATATCATCTCGCACTTCAACTTGGTACATTAATCTTGAAACTTTTTCGATCCACTTCTCATCCAATAGAATCACTACTGATAGCTTTCATTCCACTTCTGATCGAACAAGTAGCTTCACCGAATTTCCCAACTCGTTTACCGATTCGCTTTCTATCAACATGTTCCGCCGCTACCCTGTCATCGTCGTCGATCACTGTGACCGAGAATGGCAATTGATTAACCGCGGTAGGCCTTCCAGACGTATCGATTTTGATACGTTTATCTTATATTCCGTATCTCTCTTTTCGATGTTCTTTATTCAAGCCGAGATACCTGACAGCGGACCGGAAGTAGAAGAAGGTGAGTGTTTTTATTTTATCTTCGTACACCTAAGTCATCGTGCTGAACATCGTGTTGTTGCTGTATGTTTTAGTCAACAAAAAACGAAAATATAAACTTCGAATGTTTATATATTCGATCTTCCATCGATATGATGATTTGATTGACCGGTACGTAACTGGTGCTGTCTTTATCCTGTTGGCAACTGATTTTGACATACCGTTTGGATTACGATCATCGATATGCTTCGTCTTGGATTGTAGTTTTTGTGGGCACGAATACGAAACCGCGAGAGAGGCGCTCACGACTGTCTACAATAGAGCAGGGATTCGCCCCTCCGAAGAATCGATCGTTATTGTTGATCGATTTTCCAAGATTATCAGTGACAATGAGACCAGTGCATGATTTCAGAAACCGGCGTCCCCATCTTGTCTTTCAAACGAATCTTGAACTTGATCTCAAAACGCAACTTTACGAAAGATATTGTTAGAGCTTGGATTCGTTTATGCTGGTTTTCTTATTTTCTTCCTTGAAGGTTCTCGATGAAATAGTCTTGGACATCATAAAAACAATTGTTAGAGAAACTTTTCTGTGCTGCTTCACTGTGCGCTATATCCCTGTTGTTTCTCAAATTCCGTTAATGTTACACCTTTGAATTCGTTGCGTAGTTTCCAGAGTTTACTCTCATTGTGCTTGCGCTCCAAAAAAGTCCGGCGCCTTTTATGATGGTGATGATACGATTGAAAGCTTTGTAGACCAAGATCACGTATTTCGTTGGGCTTGTTCCGGATTAGCTTTAGGTGCCATGTGTTTAGAGAGCCATGAGAAAGTGTGTTGCGGAGTATGGTGAACTTTTCGTTGTATCGCATTCCGTTCACAGTGTTTTGAGCTTGCTAGGGACTCTTTCTGGCAGAGTCAGACAGATAAAGCGAAAGAAACTAGGAGCCTTTGAAGTTCGCCGATTGACGGAAACTCGGCCTCAAATCATCCAAAACCATCCTTCCTGATTCTTCTAAAATGGCTCGGATCAAATATGTAGCTGAAACACCTCTCTAAAGACTTGCTATTCTGAACGTCACTCTGAATATGTTCCTTGATCTTGATGTCGAGACATCGTCACTTGTAATTTGCAAAGGAAATGAATCATCTTATCAGGATGAACTGATGAGTGTGGCCATCACACTTGAACTTGTATCATTTTGTTCATCTTTATCAATAATGTTACATAGTTTAATTCAAGTATTGATGAATTGCATTGATTTATCAACACTTTCTTTCTCATCTGCTATGGTTTTGCAGTGCTTTGATCTTAGGGCCCGTTCGGCTGGATTTCGAAAAAATCGTTACACAAAAACGATTTTTCAATCTGCCCCTTTTTCGAGGGGCGGATTGAAAAACTCGGAATTCGGCTTTTACGTTGACCGAACAGTCGACCAAATAGGTCAACGAAAGATCGAGATGGAGGGGCAAACAGGGCAAAAACACTTTTTGGTCTCAAAAACAGCCTCAGGGCTGTTTTTCAAAATTGAAGATTTTTTGATCAAAAACCGTTTTTGGTTTTGATCAAAGACCGTTGCCGAACACCTGTGTTTTTCATGAAAATCAAAAACCGTTTTGACCCAAAAACGGTTTTTGGCTTTGGTGGTGTTTTTGACCAAAAACCGTTTTTGGGTTCCAGCCGAACGGGCCCTTACATTTCTGAATACACATCATCAGCAGTTTCCTGTTGAGGGGTCACAACTTACAACTTCCCATATCAGGTTTGTTCATTACAACAGGTCACGAGAGATAGTCAAATGAAGAGTATAAAGTTTAAACTCGGACAAATTAACAAGGCAAGGAAACAAGAAAACAAACGAAGATAGCAGCACATAAAGATATCTCAAAAGTTTGTCTATGCATCTTTTTCTATCACTGAAATGACGAGTATTTATTCACTTTCCCGTTGCAATTTCAAGAGCCCTTTCATTGATCAATGATCTAAAAGTTTATCATACCACAAGACTCATTCTTGGCCATATTGCATCCCTCTTAGTCAACATGACTAGAGCATGATGTTGAGTGACTTGACCAGGACATAATTTAATATTCCACATAGTAAGAATGGGAAAAACATAATTTACAAATCAGAAGAACTTTCTGTACGATGTGCTTTTATCAATCAACGAAAGGACATTCCACTCTTCAGTAAGAACATAGGTGTAATGGCAGCACGTCTAATAGCAACTAGATACACAAAAAGAAATGATGTCAAAAAGAAAAACACCATACTGACTGACCATGAAAGTCTTATAGATTATTAGCTCCCTCCGTGTAGTTATCCCCAAGCATCGATTTCACCAATTTCACTAACTCTCGAATTCCCTTTCTTTCTAAAATCTAATCCCCAAAAATCCTTTTGAATCGATTTAGTCAGATATTCGGCAATAGACAAAGAAGAAGTTAAACCAGGTGATTCGATCCCTAACAAATTATAAAATCCAGAATCACTTTGATTTATCAAAAAGTCTTCTAATAAATCTTGTTTTTGATTTTCGATCTTTAAAATTGATCGATTGATTTGGTTTTGGGTTTCATTGAGTCCCTTTAATTTAGGTCTTATACCTGAATCTGTTTTTTAAATATAAAATAAAACAATTAATTCCAAAAAAAACAGAATTAGTCAATGAAAAGGTCATCTAATTCTCAATGACGATACTTAATCTCAAGAATCAAAACTGAATGAAAAAAACTCAACAATCAGGAGTAAAATGATCTAATTCGACCTTGGGTAAATAAGATTTAACCGAATGAAAAACTTCTTCTAATCTATTACAATTAGGTGAAAGATTTGATACCCAAAAATCTTGAATTTCTTCAACACTTTGACTTCCATCAGTTGAATTCATAACATCAGTTGGAGTTTCTAACCATTCTACATCTGGTCCAAATTTGATTTTATGATTCAAATCTAATGTTAAATGAGTACCTAAACCTGCAAAAGTTTTTCCATTGGGATTAAAACTTGGGGTTGGATATATTAAATGGTTTATTGAACCTACACCTATTTTTGATGTATATGAATAATAATTTCCTTTACAAAAACTTAAACGCAATTGATTAGATTGATCCTTGAGTATTTGATTATAATGATTATGAGCACTATGAAGGTATTCCATAGAAGTAAGTATACAATCCAAAATGGATTTTTTTTACCAAAATAAAAATAAATTCACTAACTTTAATCCAGCACAATTAATCACACATCTTGCTAACACGCTATTAATTTCATCCATACCTTGTGGATTCGTTGTTTTAGTTTGAACGATCCAACCTGAATTAGATTTCGCTTTATCAATTCTAACCACACTTGTATTTAACACGATTGCTCCATTATCACATTGATCAATTAGGTTTTCCAATGTACTCATTAAAGAATGTGAGTCTATGATTCCAGTTTCAGGACTAAGTAAACAATTTCCAAGTTGATGAGTAAGATCAGGTTCTAAATCTAAAACTTCAGATCGGTTCAACAGTTTAATCGGTAGTATTGGTAAATGATGGGTTCCAGAGAGATCATTAAAATAAACTTGACGTTGTAAAACTTGATTATTGTTGATGTGTTGAGATTTAGTGTAAAGTGATTTTAGGTATTCTTCTTCAAACTTTGATTTCGAAATGATCAATTTTCCAAGTTTTTGATATGGAATCGAATGAGAATGACAAAAATCATATAAAAGTTTTCTACCTCTTAAACATAAACTTGTTTTTAAAGAATCTAATGGATAATATAATCCCTAGGAATCGATCCATTTTTTTTCAGTGATTGTTGTCTCTTGAACTTATGATGATCAGAATTTGAAACATACCGCATGAATCACCTCACTATTTCGTGAGCTGATTAATCACATACATATGGTTTGTGCATTCGAATTAAGTCGAGTGATTGCGTTGAAAAGATACAAGATAGTAACAACATTTTCAGTAAGTATGGCACACAACATAAAACTCACAATCAAATCATTTACAATGCTTACCTTACCTTGTTTCTTGCCCTACTTGACTATGACTAAATCAAAACCATAGTGAGGTTTCATGAATTTGAATCCAATCATCCAATGATAAGAATATACCAAGAAGAAAATATCAAGTCATGTTAGTGATCTTGATTATCAAAAGTCATCCATATTTTGCATTTATCGTCAAACCGTGAAATTGGTTTCTTTTTGTTTCTTGGTGGCTAACCGCTCAAGTAAATAACTAGATTTATTCGGAAATGATCTAGTGAGGTAATGTCCTATTGCTAATCCTATCACACCACCACCAATAATCAAATGATCTACTGCAACCTACGTAGTATACACAGAGAAGAATGATCAGTTCATTGATAATTTGGAAGATGATGGTCTGAATAGATGAAAATAGATTTGCTTACCTCTGGTGCTTTGAAACCAAACTTTTGTCGTAATGACGAGAGAGTTTGTAAATGGGACATGGTGGTGTACGACAAACATGAATGACCCAAATCACCCCAAATCAAACTGGGTGGTTAAGGATGATGTCGGGTCGTATCCGATATCCGATATGCTACACAACATCGGATCAAATGTGCCTTCGAAAAAAAATGTGATAAACTCTCGATCCACACTTCTCACTGACACCATCACCCAATTGAAAACCTCAAGAATGTCCAACAATACTACCGAGATGGAATTAGATCAAACTCAGTCTAGCTCACTTCAACAGGTTGCCGTCTTACAAGGTCAGCATTCGTTCTTACTCTCATATTTAATTTTGGTAAGATCTTCATTTCTTTGAATAATTGAAACTGTTCAAAACTTTTAAGCTTATCATTTGATATCTCTCTCATTGTTTTTGATGCAGGACATTCTGATCGAGCATGGTCTGTTTCATGGCATCCATCAAAACCTATTTTAGCATCATCTTCAACGGATAAACAAATCAAATTATATAAATATCAAATATGTTCAACTCAAAGACCGTTGAATCTTATACCAGAAGAAACAAAACCTATCAAAAAAACTTCATTCAGATTTGATTATTTAGATTCAATTCCTACAGGTCATACTCGTACTGTTAGATCAATTCAATGGAATCCTTCTGGGAATATGTTAGCTTCTGGTTCATTTGATTCGACAGTTTCGATTTGGTCCAACACACATCCATTAACCAAGCCTGATCTTACAACTCATCAAGATAGATGGGAATCCGAAATTGAAGCTGAAGAAACCCAAAATCTAGAGTCTCAGAATGATACAACCGATTGGGAATGTATGATGTCTCTAGAAGGACATGAAAGTGAAATCAAAGGTGTAGCTTGGAATCGAAATGGAAAACTAATGGCCACTTGTTCTCGTGATAAAAGTGTTTGGGTATGGGAAATCTTAACTGATTCAGAAGTGAATGAAGGAATCGTCACAGATGATGGAGGTTATGAAGTTTTATCTGTTTTAATGGAACATGAAGCAGATGTGAAATCGGTTTGTTGGTCACCAAAAGAAGATTTACTTTGTTCTACTTCTTATGATAATCATTTACATCTTTATTCAGAAGATGTTAGTTCTGATGGTGATTTCACTTTGATACATAAACTTATCGGTCATACTTCTACAGTTTGGGATGCTTCATTTTCAGCTTGTGGTGAATTTATTAGTTCTTGTTCTGATGATCTATCTATACGTATCTGGTCTAGAGAAAAAGTTTTGAAAGGTGGGATTGAAGGTCGTGATGGTGGTTTGAATGGTGGTTGGAGAATCGGTCGTTCTGAAAGAGAAAGATGGAGTTGTGTTTATGTTTTAGAAGGGTTTCATAAACGTACGATTTATTCTATTGATTGGACTTTTTGGGGGAATGTAGAGGATCAGATTAAAGGTAACGAAGGTGAACATTTAGGATATATTGCTACTGGTGCTGGAGATGGAAAAATTAATATCTTTACAATCGTTTGTCTTTTTAATCTTCTACATTTCCCTTTTCTATATCGACACTTGAATTTTTTCTTTTTCGATCGTTACTGACTTTCTCAATAATTTTCGACTTTTTGTTTATTTTTTCAGCATCGAGGTACATCTGTATCTGGTTTAGATAGTACAAATCCTAAACCAGAAATCGATTTATTAATTCAACAAAAAAATGCACATGGTGTTACAGATATTAATTCGGTTAGATGGTGTAAGATTCAAGATTCTACAAATTCAAATTCAACTAACAATCCAAATTGGCGTTCTGAAGCTAAACAATTACTTGCAAGTGTTGGTGATGATGGAATGACCAAGGTTTGGAGTTTGAATTTGTAAATTGGATCGTATTGATGATTAATGATTTGAATGTGAATTTACAAGTCTTTGGAGAAAACATATTTGCATTTTGTTCATATCCTATCAAATCAAAGATCTTTGCAATGTAGACTTGAGTCATCCATCAACCTTTGAACAGTTTATTTTTTGAAAATCTTCAAGTCATCATCAATTTCAACCAAAATGACAAACATGTATAGTAGTTTGGTTTAAATTTTTTTGCCTTTGAAATTCATAACTTCATGTTTGGTGATCTTTCCAAGGATCTAGTAAACATTACTGAATTTACCAAGAGTGCCCATTCGAAGAACTTTTGATGAGGTTCAGTTTGATAATCTGAATGCTTTGGAGATATGTATTCTGTTAAGTTGATTAGCTTTGAAGCTTTTCAGATTTCATTGCAATTCTCATCTTTTGTATTGTAGTTTTAAAGTCATTGAAGATGGGTGACATGTCTGTGTAGGTGACTTAATTAAGTACCTGGATAAAACACCTTAAGCTTGCATTTTAGACGTTTTAATCGAGTTTAAATTGTAAAATGGAACTTAGGGTTTGACCAACCAATTCCCACTTTCAATCGAATTTCAAAAATACCACTTTACCCGATCAGAACACCAAGAACCACACCAACAACAACCTCAACCTCATTCGACTTTGTCTTTCATTCGAACATCAACAAAACAAAAATGACATCAAAGCCATTAACAGCAGCTGCTGCTATTATGATAGCAAGTAACAGTCGGAATAATGCACCTTCGCCTTCTCCTACTCCTGCAACTAAATTAATGGGATTAAATGCTCAATTAATCGAACTTGAACATGAAGTTCCAGTTGAGAATGTTAAATTAGATAGTCTTGTAAGTTATTTTTCAACCAAAAGAAGAAGTCAAAAGAAAACGATGATTTATTGATTTTTTTTTCATCTTTGCTTTTGGGTAAAAAAAAACAAAATCAAAGGCTGTGATGAAGATTATTAAACATGCAAGAGAATCAATGGCATCTGGTTCAAATCAAATTGCTTCTGGTCAACTTTTAGGTTTAGATACTTCTGGTATCCTAAATATAAGTGATGCATTTCCATTACCTTCTGGTTGTCTTATGGGTGCTTCGATTGATGGAGATGAACCTAAAGGTACTAAAATGGGTAAATGACAAGCAAAAAAGACAAACTTATTACATCAATTCAACTTTATCCAAACCTGATACATGACTTTTTTTGGCTTTGGTTGGAAATTAGCTTCTAGATATGCTTCTTCAATCTTACCACGTCTATCTGCTTTAGGTGCAGATGCAAACATAGTTGGATTTTATTGTTCTACAATCAATTCTCAACATTTAGCTACACCTGGCTTTATTGAAACTTTGATTTCGATTCAAATCGGTTCGACTACACCTACTTCAAAATCATTGGTCAAAACAAAAGTTTTAGCTGGTAAAGGTTTAGCTATCGTTTATGATTTAGCTAGTTCGACCCAAGGAACGGTTAATTTAAAAGCTTATCGTCTTTCTCAAAACTTTGTTGAAGCTTATCAGAATGGAAAATTCGATTCACAAAAGTAAGTAAGACGTTTAGTTTAATGTGAAGATCGGATCGATTGATAATCTTGAATGTTTGGACTTGATTGATAGTCTTGCAGATCATAAACTTACAGTCTCTAATATCTTACAAGAAATCCCTTTAACGATTCAATCCTCAGCATTATTGACGGCATTCTTAGCAACCTTAATCTCACCTACGTCAGAATCGATTCAAAGTTCGATCGTTAGTACGAACCAATGGGGAACACCCACTGAATCCAATCGATCTGAACTATTATCAAATCATTTACCTTCCTTCTCTCCATTAAGTTTACCTTCTTCTCAACATTCTGATTCACCTACTTCAATGTTAGATACCCTCTTAACGGTTATGAATTCGATTGAGGTTCATAATACTGCTCTTAGTACTCTTAGTTTTCAGTCTCGTCAATTGGCTAGAGATAGAGCTAAACTTGAAAGTGTGATTTCTAAAAGGAAAGCTGAGAATGAGGTTCGGGTTCAACAAGGTTTACCTCCTTTACCTCCTTCATCTGAAGAGGTAAGATTGAATTTCGCTCGCTTGCAATTACTCAGACTGATATCATGGTAAACTAATTGATATTCTCTTTCGTGACATTTTTATAGGCTGCTTTACAAGAACCATCTAGATTAGAAACAATGTGTGCTTTATCAGGTGTAGATGGAGCAGCTAAGAAGCTTTGTGAGATTAGTGGATTGGGTGTGGTTAGAGCATTTGGAGCTAAAGCTGGAATTTAAGAACAAAAGTAACCAAATGATAGAGTCACAGTACAAAAAAACATACATATGGAAGCACGATGAAAAAAATAAGAACTATAAGGATTTTGTTATAGATCAAACTGATTTGAATGTTTTGTAGTCCATTTCTTTTGAACTTTTTTTGAATATGATTTGATGTGAATGAGAGTAGATTCAAGATTGCTATAAGTTATGTGGTGGTGAACTTTCTTTGAATGAATTTAAACTTGATTCAGCTTGTTCAAATGATTGTCTTGATTCCGGGTTTCCTCACTGACTTATTTCCGGAAGGTTTTTGTGCATGGTTCTATTTCCTGAGCGGACAAAGTGGCACATGTGAGATTCGCATTGCAATTGTTGAATTCGGAGGAAAAAGGTAACAGAAAGCGAAACTCTGTTCAAATTCAAGCTTTACTGATCCTCTTTGGTTCATCTAGGTTAAGCGCACTTCGTATTGGGAGAAATTATGGTGAAATCCATGCACATACCCTATCCCGGACTTCGAAGGGTAGGATGCATAGAGTCTATGAGGGTCAACTCAAGTCATCTATATTGACGTCAAATGAAATGCCATGGAGTTAGTTTATAAATTCTGATCAAGTTGAGCCCATACATTCTTAAATTCTTTTCCCAAACTTCAATATATTTCGCCGTTCCATGTCTCAAATCATCGGAAGCCGAGTGCTTAACTTCGTCATTCATTTAACCCCGAACATCAACCCTTATCAGGCAACAGCTGATTATGTCGATACCTTCCTCCTGGTGCGTGTCGATACATAAACGCGATTCTTTGTTGAGAATCCAAGGTCTGACATAACAACTTCTGCTGATCTGACTTTTCTCTCTCTCTTTATCCAAAGCCATGTCCTCTGCCGTCTTGGTCCCTTTACGTGCAAGGCTTTCTGGTATTGGAGTTGATAATGTTAGAATAGCTTGTTTCTGATCAACATAACTGAGACAGGGCAGGTGTTGAGACTCTAGTTGACAAAACTGACGTTGGACGAATTTGCCGTTCAGAATGTTCCTTCAATCAGCCTACATTATCTATCGTCGCTCCAAGACAAAGAAAATGTATCATATTAGTTTGAATGCAGGTGAGTGGAGCGCAACTCGTGATCTACTTAAGCTTGTCATGAATGCTTATTTACTTCCTGTTCAGTGGGACTCATACAACTTGATCGTGCGAACCACTGTGGATTGTGCTACTTGCTATATAGTATATGTAAGTACGCTTGTCTCGTGCGAGTTTTGTCCACCAGAAGAGGTTGATCCAACGTAACGGTATACTTTTCTTCACTACATAGTTGCAGTGGCAGAGATCGTTTGTTACCAATTCGCACAATCTGGTCATTTGGACGAGGGATGGCCAAATTTCTTACTAGGCATCAAGGTTTTAGTTTCGATTGCATGTGCCAGGTGAGCTTTCATCACTCATTGCCTCATTTCCTCTTAAAGTGCTAATATAATTGAATTTTCTTTAGCGGTAAGCAATTTGACTTAGTTTTTATCCTTGATCATTAGTTCATACGTTGAAAAAATTTCTTTCCCCACATCAACACACCCTGACTTAGTGATCTTATGGCTGTGCATCTGTCATTTTATCTTTGTCAGACAGAGAGCTGTCTCAGAAAATTTAGCCCCAAAGGGACGATTGCTCTCAACCACTGCAACATGGGCACTGAATATATTTTTGGTAATAATCATCTTAGTACCAAGTGGTCAGCCTATTATTTCAATGCTACTTTACATGATCTGCACTCCCTGAAATCATCTTTAAATCTTAGCAGTCATTGTCACCGTTTGCTCCCAACTTACCCATGAATATGGTCGTGTGAGACAAGTGGTGATGCCTGTCACCCAACATCTCCGGGATTTGGCGCACAATTGCACCTCGGGAACATGTAGTGTGACTCATGTTGCATCCCAAGTTATTGTACTCGCGCGCGTCATGCATCACATTGTAAGTCTCACTTGAAAATAGTAAAATGAGTTCGGCTGTAATTCTAATTCCGCTTCTTTGATCAGGATCGTTTGGTATATGACACTACGGTCAGTGTATACTTTTATGTGCTATGTGATGCATTGACTTTTTTGGTACGTCCTATATTAATATAACAGAGATCCTAGTCTAAAATGTTATACTTCAATCCGATCAGTTTTATGTCCCATTTGTATATCTATTGTTTCAAAGCTTCAAGACTCAAAGAGGATTGGATCATTCGACAAAACGACAAACAGGTGGTGTCTTTTCAAACACCGTGATAGAATTGGCAATGATATTCTTACGTGTCGTGTTAGGTGCCTGTACAGTATGTATTGAGCTTTAGTCTTGATCATGGGTCAATTCAAAGAGACTTGACCCTTTAATTGAATCTGCTTCACGTTCTTCAATTTCTTTTTCAAGATTCGTTTGATTCGCAATGGTGAATTCATCGTGGACGCAAACTTTTGGCTTATCCTTCGCATTGTAAGCCTTGTTTTGTTTTCTTTAGGATTTGATTTTTCCCCTATCTCATGACCTTTTTACAATCATCATGCAGGGTATACCTAGTACCATTTCAACCTTGGGAAACATGTAAGCAGATGAATTTAGTTGTGATCATGTGGGGCGATACTAAGATGATCAACCTCCGAAGCACCTTGTTCTTGATCTTAGACAGTCTCAGGAAGAATGATAACATTGATCCAGCGAGTCGAATCTCCCTCTCAAGGTTCCCAAGACTCATGCCAATAGGTACCTACAAATCTGATGGAAATTCTTCAGTATGATATTCAAATTCATGGACTTTGACTTTGACTTTGAGTGTGACTTTAGTATTCTCTTCCCTGATCAGAATTTATTTATATTTTTCACAGCTTTGAAATCGTAATCTATCTCAATTTCTAACTTTCATTACAATCAACTTGTATCATTCCTTGAAGCTTCAGTACACTTTTAAGCTGTGTTATTGGAGTTTTTAAATCATGACTCTCATTTCCTCTTTACCCATCACAAAGTTAAATATGTATGAAGCCCATATTTGGACATCATTTATTCAATTTGATATCTATTAGCGGGGTTCAAGTCGAATGAAGTCAAACCCAAAATGTGTTTTAGGCATTGCTCGGAAGCCTTAATTTATAACTCACGTTTTAAAGCTCGCGAGTAGCTCTAGAGCCACTTGCAGGCTCTAAAACTATAGGTTGATACCTATGATTTTAAAAAGCTTGATTTTTTTATCAAGAAAAAAACTGTCTTTTTTTGTCTCAAGAAAAGGTGTATGAGTTGTTTTTTGTTGCCTAACGGTCATTTTTTTCCTACTTCTCTTTTGTTGAGTCCATAACAGCAGATACAATGTACTTTTTTCCACAATATGTACCTTTGTCTCAAAGCTTGTTTTTTTCATTATTAGACGTAGTGGCCTATGTTTAAACAATTCTTACAATAGGGGGTTTCAAGTCAGGATATATTTGTCGAATATATGATGAAACGGACAAGTTTTCAAGATTTTACAGTGTTTTTTTTTCTGCAAATATACGGTCAACAGCATTTGGGACACCTAAAAAGGTGTCCCAAATTTTCAAATTTAAGGTGAAATTTTACGGTCTCGGACAACTTGTTGTACTGCAAAATACCATAAAATTTTGGACTTGAAACCCCCTAATGTCCAAGTGAGTTTGAGGTAAAATTCATCCTAAAAAAATCACTTGGATGTTGTAAGATTTCTGCTTGGAATTTTTGACTTGAACCCCACTATTTATAGGACTTTTACTGTGTTTGTGTTCACTTCTGCTTGCTATATTTATGTCAGAATGTCACACTGTGTCCCCCATCTAATCCAAGTTTGATGTTACCAAAGTTTGATTTTGACCCAGAAACAATACAAAAGGGCAGAAAAGGTTGATTGGTTAGAATCTGCAATCAAAATGTTGGATGATAGGAATAAAAGTTGTTTTACATGTTTATGTCTCTCAGTGTTGTGTAGTGTGATCTTTCTTTTCTAGCGCTCACAAATATTTGTTATTTCATTCTCTCTGATTTGATATGTTGCACAGTTACAGTTTCCTTTATTCCGGCCTATGTTTCTCTTTGAAAAATTTGAAGAAAACAAAAGTCTTAGCTACTTTGAGTAGTTGAATACATGTCCTTCCATCATTCTACAAAACCATTGAGTCATCCAGACGGAAATCTTTTGCTAAGAATTGTATTTCAGGCTGACCATGATTACATTGAAAGTCTGGATGAAATTTCTATGGATCAATCTTCTGAGGGTGTTCCTAGAGGATTGTTTGAAAGAGTGATTATTGTTGTGTGTGAAGCCTTGAAGATCTTTTGTTGGCAGTCTCACATTGATCTAGAGTCACTAATATTGGCCTGATGATCTTGAAACAGTAGTTGATGATGAAGAGAATTTGAATACAGTTAAAGTTGATGTGCCAGTTTTTGATGCAGAAATATTTCAACTCCTGGTGACTGTTGAATGGTGTTGCATTTACTCCAATTTTTGAGAGAGGAAATGGAGATTCTGAATGAGGATGGCCTGACATTGAAATCACTGTTGGTAACTTTTTATTAACCTAGTGGAATGGGAAAGTTGGTAACATTACATTACATGTGGTCTTGGGAACTGACGGGTCGGTTCTTATATCTTCTCTCAAATTACACATATGACATCATTCAATTTACTTCCCTCTTTACCAACTCCCATCGTGTTTACTTTTGTTGAAGATTTGTCTTCAAAATCCAGATTCATTATCTAGCTCGTTAGAACTCATCGTATATTACTTCAAATCAAGTTTTTTGATCCCTCCCTCCCACCCTTTGGGCAAGTTGTGATAGTTTTGTTTATTTGTTTACATTTAAAAAGCTTGTTGTGTTTTTTTAAAAAAAAGATGTGGTTTTTCTTAGTTGATTTTTTTTGTGTAGTGGTTTATTATTTTATGTCTTATTTGCGGTTATTGTGGTTATGATAGTGAATGGTTATGTTTCTTTTTTAGGTTATGTCCTTAATATTGTGTACGGTTATATTTCATTTAAGAAGGCCTAGCCACCCCGTTACTCAACGTCGAAATCGCTGCGCTACGCACAGCAATATGAAGGGTCGTAGATAGTGGTATGATCTACCACTATCTTGAACATCCGCTACGCACCAATATCACGAACAACCCGCTATGTCTTTTATGTAGGGGTGCGCATCAGCCACTATGGGGCACTACGATATAGACTCACTAGCGCTATCATAGCGCACACGCAAAATTTTTTAATATGAACATCAAATATTATTAAAAGGCATTTAAAAAATAAGTGACAAACATATACAAGAACCATTAAACAATTGAGTAAGAGAGTAGAGCAATAGAAAAAAAAGAGAAGAAATAACTTGTATTAAAGATAGTCATGAAGTAGAAGGCAATTTAAATGATCGAGATATAAGAAAAAAAAAGAAAAGTGAGACTTGAAAAGTGAGATCGGGAGTGAGTGTAGGAAAAGAAAAAAGGAAAACTTTGACTTAAAGAGAGTAATTAACTTGAAGGTAAACTAAAAGATATGATGATTAAGAAAAGGAAAAAATAATTGAGATATCAAGTCATCGCTTCTCCATGTTCTCCACCAAGGTAAGAGCCTCAGAGAACTCGCCAGGAACCTTTATCCCAGCCTTGAGCCACTCCCGAGACGAAGCACATCGCTCAATGGTACGGCTAGTCATAGCCGATCAATCGGACCCGCACACGTCAGCTGCACCTGAAAAGATCCTTTCACAAGAACAGGTTGTTCCAGAACAACCCATAAAGTCACGAGCCATGAGGGCAAGGACAGGAAATGCGCCACAATTATCCTAAAGCATAAGACACAGTCAGAAATTTTGAAGTTAAAGATAAGATGATGAAGAAAGAATATGTACCTTCCACCACGACAAAAGTGTGCCACAGGTAAGAGGAAATTTTCCTGATATGTAACCTTCAAGTTCTTGTTTGGTATCATCGTTAGGTCCAGATGCCATAGAAGCAAATACATTGTATTCGTCATCAGTGACAGTATTATCTTGCTGGACAGTGGTGATTGTTGTGACCGGATGACTAGCTTGATATTGAATTGAATAAGAATCCAGATGTTGTTTGACAATTCTTTGGATGCGAGTGACATGTGATGGATGATGAAGTTCAAAGAACTTCATCCTGAGTCAAGGGTTCAGGACGGTAGCGACTACAATAGCATCACATTCAAGAGCTTCTGACTCGTAAGAATCAAGGCGACTGATCATGCTTGACGTCAATTTTTGAAGGCTGGCGTATGGAGTATAAGAATTGAGTTTTTGAAGGGATGTCCTGACACGGTGATAGTCGAGTAAAATTATAGCTGCTGTGGAATGATTGCCCTCGATCCTCGAGGTAGCTAACACAATAACCTAGTCAAGACATCAGGGATCAGTAAATGAATATAAGGTGGAAGGATCGAGAGAGATATCAAAGTACTCACTTCCATAACCTCATTCAAAGCAGATGCACATAGCCATTCGCTTTTTGAGATTGATAATTCCTCAAAATAACCCTCCTCGTCATTTGCTAACATCTGATTTATAACCTGTAAATAAAGTGATTTCTTAGTGATCTTCAAACCGACTGAGCTCAAAGAAAGGAAGTCTTACCTCGGCTCCATCTACCATGATTGATCGGCTCTGGTGCAAGCCATTCCATTTGCTGGACTCACCAAGGATAGGACAACGCAAAGTCCTACCCAACTCCTTAGCACGGTTGCGGAATTCCAGACGTCAAGATGGACGGCGAGCAATCAGTCGGCTTACTTGATCGATCTGCAGAGATTGAAATCAGTATCGAGATGAAGAAAGTTGGTAAGAGTGTGAAGAGAGAGCTTACCTTCTTGATTGCTTGAATCACTAGGTCAGGTCGGCTTCTTGAACTAGGTAAGGCAGCAGGGTCTGGGAATTGAGATACTTGGTCATTGTGGTCACCGTCACTGTCAGATTCACAGTCGCGAGTGCCATTGCCAGATTCGCTAGCGTCTGAATCTTCAGTTTCATTGTCTTCTTCAACTTGCATTGCATCAGTTTCATCGTTAAGAGTGATGGAAGGGGTGGGAACGTTGAAAAGAGGCTGGGTGGTTGGCTTGGTGTGGCCGGGATCAAGACCGATCGAGGCTAGACCGTGCTTAACAAGCAGGGCTAGCTTGTGAGCATAGCAGCGAATCTGCATACGTCCTGCTGGCCAGTCGACACTCGGGGTAGCCTCTTGAAACATCCGCTGTAATTCATAAGCAAGGGTGCGGTTGTTTGATCCCGAATCGGTAGTTTGGGCTAACATGTAGATAAACAAAGCCAATCAGGTTTAAGTTTGAAGATGATAATGGAAAAAGATAAAAAAAACTTATCTTATCATGTAGACCATGCTTGATGAGGAATCGGGCCACTGGTTGTGCAAGTAGGACACCGGCGTGGTTCCACACGGCCAGCTTTAGACTAAGATGGAATGTCTGGAACTCCCACTTATCGTCAATGAATGTTACATTCATTCCGATAAAGGCATACCGGCTCCGACGGGTGGTCCAGCCATCGTGAATCAGGCAGAACTTGCTTGAATTGTTCTAGATGATGACCAAGAGATAAAGAAAAGAAAAGGAGGGAAAAGAACAAAAAGAATCATAAAGTCAAAAGATAGAAACATAGGCAAAAGTTTGATCAAGAAGAAGATTTACCTTGATAGTTTCCAGAACCGTCTGTTGCAATCCCGAGTAAAGACGCTTGGCAGCGTTTGCTGCCCATACTGCCAATCAAAGGGCTGCCGACACGTTTGCCAATCGGAAAGCTGCTCGTAAAGAGCAGTCTTGGAATCGAGCCCATGGTAATGCTTGACGAATCACCCAGATGACACACATCAAGTTGAGAAGATCGACACTAAACTTGTCCTTAGAAATAAAATGATCAAGAGTTCCTGATTTGTTTGCCTGCACCAATCTCTGCAGCTCCTCCCACGACAGTGGAAGATCCAAACCAGCCGCTATGGCATCCGACCGCCTGGGGCAAGCGGGTCAACCTTTGCTTCCATCCCGATGCCCGTACAGGTTGTAGTAGCTAGTCAAACCCTTGAGGAATCGACCACGGCACCACCGACACCTATAAAGCCGTGGATCACCAGACGTCTGAAGAACATATATTAGTATCTAAACTCAAAACAAAAACAAAAACAAAAACAAAAACAGACTAACCTGGCCATTAGGATAGATCGGAGGGTGAAAGTACTTGAGTAGTTCTTGAACCCGAGCCAGGTGTGAAGCCCTGATACCAGTCCTGGGTCTCCTCGGAATGATCTCGTCTCCAGAATCTTGATCAATATCTACGCAGTCAGGAACTTTCTCGTCCTATAAATGGAAAATTATAATATTTATCAATTAATCATTGAAAGCGATTGTTGAGAACAAAGGAAAGTAAAAGATTAAACAGCTTACTTTTTTTCTCTTCTTTGTCACCTTTTTTTCGGTCTGACACTTTCGTTTTCCGGTTGAAGGCGATTGAAGGTCCAATAGATCGTCCTCA